GGGGATGGAGAATATGGAACCATCGGGAAGGATTAGAGCCTAAACATGATAAAAGAGGCAGCATTTTAGAGCAGCCCAGCAAAAACTAGAGTTGGCAAAGCTACTTTTTTTGTCTGTGAAATTTGCATTTGTTTCATTCCCTTTACCAATGCCACCTGAGCCCCTCCAAGGCACCTCAACCTGTCGTCTACCCTTTCAACCTATCAGGAAAACACCTCAGTTGTGGTGTGCATTCCAGGTATTTCAATCTCTAAATGTCAGTTCAATGGGAAACATCAGTTAAAACAAAAATGAATTCCCACAAGTTCTATTCGACCAACTACTGTGGCTTTTTATAGGCTCAGGTTCAAATTTGTCATCCTTACCCCTCCTCTCCTCTCCATCCACCAAAAAAAAAAAAAAAAAGGAATAGCAAGGAATAGGAATGGAGCTTGTAATTTCTTTTCTTTCAGGTTCTCTAAGTAAACCTTGAGTTCTGGTAGGACTGTTTGTCAATATCCTGATGTCTGAATTCTTAGGTTTTTGTTTTTTTTTTTTTTTTGTGAGACAGTCTTGCTCTGTCTCCGAGGCTGGAGTGCAGTGGCCTCATCATAGCTCACTGCAACCGCCAACTCCTTGGCCCAAGCGATCCTCCTGCCTCAGCCTCCTGAGTAGCTGGGGACTATAGGTGTGCACCACCATGACTGACTAATTTTTCTGTTTTTTGTAGAGATGGGTCTCACTCTTGCTCAGACTGGTCTTGAACTCTCTGACCTAAAGCTATCCGCCCACCTAGGCCTCTCAGAGTGCTGGGATTACAGGCGTGAGCCATCATGCCCAGCTCAGATATCTAAATTTTTATCCTATTAGAGTAGCCAGATTTTATGGTTTTAAAACTGCAACTGGTCAGATGGATAGTTCCATCTATTTATGGCCACTTTCAATGGCTGCATATATACAGATTCAAATTAAGTCCTGATGTGGCAGTTTGAACTTGTGCTCAGCACAGCAACTTGCCCACTGGTTAGAGTAACCATCCATGATCCAACATATTGTTAGCCTATCTACCTATTCACCTGTTGCTTGATTGAAGACTGATTTATGTCCAAATCAAATCGCTCATTTTGCATTTCACAGCACAAAGTGAGATCCCTGGTGTTTGAATTTTTTTCCTGAAGAATTTCCATTAATCCAGTTCATGTTCTCAACAGGAAGTAATTCAGACATGGGAAATGACAAAATGTATGCAACTGAGAGCCAAAGATGATAATGGATAGAGGTCACATATATACAAATATACCTATGCAAAAGGATAAAAATAAAACATTTTGGGGCATTTTCACAAAAAGTTGCCACGTTGGAGTAGAAATTAAAATTATACTTCTTTACTTGAATTTTCAAATATAATTCACTTTGTAGAATATTTGATATACTGAAACTCCCTGTAATTTTTATTATAAAATTGGATTTATATTTCTCTAGGATAAGAATTAGAGCTAGAAAAATACAAAGAGCTCAAAAGGAATGCAGCAAAACCTAAAAAAGCACATAAAGGTAAGATTGTCTTTTACTGATAAATTATTAATGGTACTACTTAAAATAAGTTATGGAATATGAATACAAAGTAGTCAGTTATTTTTACATTTTGCATAATAGCTTAAAATGAAAGCCAATATCAGAACAACAAAAAATGGAACAGGATAGCTTCTTGGTTCCAACAAGCTTTCTCCACAATATTTTGTAAGAAGAAAATATATAATACAAGTTGCATTTTTAGAAGTTAGCCTCTACTCCTATGCCTGTAATCCTAGCACTCCGGGAGGCCGAGGTTGGAGGATCACTTGAAGCCAGGAGTTTGAGATCAGCCTGAGCAAGAGCAAGACCACGTCTCTACAAAAAGTAGAAAAATTAGCCGGGCGTGGTGGCACACACCTGTAGTCCCAGCTACTCAGGAGGCTGAGGCAGAAGAATCAATCACTTGAGCCCAGGAGTTTGAGATTGCAGTCAGCTGTGATGATGCCACTGAACTCTAGCCAGGGCAACAGAGCGAGACTCTGTCTCAAAAAAAAAAAAAAGTTAGCCCTTATGGAAGGTTCTGGTTTTGAAAATGAGTGGCTGATCTTGGTGCAAGCCTAGAAGAAACACAGATGCTTTGAATCAAAATGCAGTAGGATAAATGAAGAGTCCTCGGGCTTACGGAAGAACTCTTTTACAGACAAAATCACCACCTGAGTAGGGGCTGGAGAGACCAGGGTTAAGAAAGAAGTCCATCTGGCAGGAAAACAGCACAGGAGTCAGAGAGCAAACAAGACCACAGCAGAGGTCATGGTACAGATAACAACGAACAGACAAGAATTCAAAATAGTTTGTCAATATGGCCTGCCTTCCCCAACTAAAAGTTCTGTGTGGGCAGAGATTTTAATTTTGTCCACTACCATATCCTCAGCTTCTGGAATAGTGTCTGGTTTCTAGAAGGTGCTCCATAAATATCTGATGACTGAATGAACAGAAGCTAAATTTCAGAAGACAGACTTGTCCAAGGAAATACAATTCCACAAATATGTAACAAGCACCTAAACAGTACTATGCTAAGTGTCCACAAGTAATGCCGAAGTAAGTAACTGTTATCCAAGCCTCTAACATGGCAGGAGAATGCCCGGGGCTAGGAAGGGAGGAGTCACGGTGATGGAATCAAGGAGTCTTTGGGAAGAAGACAGCATTAGCAATGGATGGTACTGAATGATGGATGGTAGGAAAAGCAGGGACTGGAGCCCAATGCTCCTGAGCTCCCTGAGGACATCAACCACTTCACTTACCTTTGGGTGCTGGGTGCCTACTTCAGTGCATTCTTCAGTGCATTTCCAGTAGGCGCGCAGTTAAGTGTCTGGGAACTGATGAGTAGGCAGTTGGGATCCAGGCACAGTGTCCGATCAAGCTGCTGGATCAGCATGCTGGCCAGGACCAGCCTAGGAATCGGCCCTGGCTTCCTTCCTTGTTCTCCGTCTCATCTGCTTGAATGACTGTGGCCAGTCCAGGATGGGCACTGTCACAGTGTGGTCTGAGAATTCCTGCCTCAGAATCAAATGTTAAAATGTCGACCTCTGGGCCCCATTTGTGGGAGTCCATTGGGACTTCCTGAATCAAAATCCTGAGTGAGGGACCCAAAAAACTGGCATTTTAAGCAAGTATCCCAGTAAGTTTCCTACATATCAAAGTTTCAAGGGAAACAACTATTTTGGGTGGTTACTGTGGGCTAGATTAGGCTTTTACGTGTCATAATTTAATATTTATAATAATCTAAGGAGGGAGTAGGATTTAATAACTATCTGTGTTTGAGGAACAAGTTCAGGGACAGTAAATAAATTGCCTAACATTGCATAACAAGTAACTAGTGGAGATCCAAATTCCTGAGTTTAATTCCTGAGACCACACACTCCCACATCTCACTACACCTTAGGGAATCACAGAAAGAGCGAACTGAGCCACTGTGCAGAGCTAGTCTTCAGGAATTGTACAGGGTCAGTTTCTGATTGGTTGAATCTGCCCAAATGAATTTCTAGAAATCAAGATTTGAGGTTTTAACATATAATACGTACCCTAGCGTGTCTAAGTCATTTATGACTTTAATAATCCTTATAGTGAGACTGAGCACTAGAAAACTCACGTGTGGGGCAGACAAGTGCCTTAACACGGTGAAGGAAGGGGTGGGTGGGGAGGACAGCAGGAGAGAGATGGTGAGACTGTCACCCTCACACCTAACAACTGCTGGCTCCAGCCAACAGTCCCACCCACGGTGGCCAGGTCTTCTCATATTTCAAAGAGAAGCCAAAAGTCCAGCTTTCCACATGAAACATCATGATTTTAAAATATCCGTAACTAAATCAAAAAGTTTAAAATACACCCTGCAAGCCAAACAAACAGGTCTGGAAGACAAGTTCAGGCCCATAGAGCTCCAGCATGCAACCTCCGACCAATCTGGAATATACAAATTCCAGGGCATTAAGCTTCGTAAAGTAACTAGTGAAAACCGATTCCTTAGAGTCTGTGCATCCTGCTTACATAAAGTATATCCCTATCACTACTTCTGGTTTCATCAAACATGCATCACATCATCTTTTGATTTCATACAGGTGTATCACATGTGCCCTGAAGGGCAGATTTTGGTAAATTTTGTGTCTTTCTATTAACTTACCTTTGTAAGCATGCCTTATTTGGGTTTTGGAGGGATCTTCAATGGGCGCTGGTCAATTTTAAATTTATGATTCCCTGGCCTTTCAGCTTATTCTAAAGAAAATAGAGCAAACTCTGGGAAAGAACTTTTAGTTTTAGTAATAAGCACGGTACCGCGTCTGCTTTACAGTAATTGTGTTTAGAGCTTTTCCGAGGTGGAAATTCCCCTACCACAGCGATAAAGCTGCTCTGCTTCAGAGCAATTATCCATGTGTGTCTTTCTCTCACACACAAAGACTGGGTGTCGTGTGATTTCCCACATATGATATGATGATAAACACTCTAAATCAGTAAGTTTAAACAAGTAATTGGGTTTCATCATTGCTATTATTTAATGATTTTATCATGTTACTTTATGCAGAATGGCTATGGATTAACCAATGAGGTCTTGTTTTTTTAACATTTCCACAATCTAAATGATACTCCACTCTTTCAGTATTGGCGTGGCTTTAGGGAGTATTTTCTTATCTGTTTCATGGCAGGGTTAGAAGGATACCTCCTTCTGTACCTTTATTTTTGCAACGTGTGTGCATGTATTACATGCCATCAAGTGAGGCAACGCCAACCGACCGCAGCAGAAATCCTCATCAGAGCAAATCACCGCACCGCCACCAGTTTCCCGACGTTAAACACGGTATAGACGCACGAGCACCAGTGTGAATGGATTAAAAGGCACTTACAAGGATGACCCGCCAAGATTCCTACTTTCAAGACACAACAAAATGCCTCCAGGAAGTGAAGCCAGCAGGTTCTAATCTCATTTATTTTCACGGCTGTTTTTTTAATTGTAGTTTTCCACAGTAAAATCAAAGAGCATCAGAGGACTCTGGTGGAATTTTGAGAAGAAAAACCTCCCCTCTCCCGGAAGCCAGATGAGGCGAGTTGCCGGAGCTGCGCGGCCGCTGGTCTCAGGGAAGCGGCCCCGGGCGCGGAGCTTCTCGAGCGCGCCGGCCCGGCCCCCGCCGCCGCTGTCACCGCCGCCGCCACCGCCGCAGGCCGGGCCGGCCTGGCGGGCTCAGAGCCGCCACCGCACCGCGGCGGCTGGGGGCTGGGCGGGGCAGCCGTCTGTAGTTAGTTATTTATTTAGCAGTTTCAGGAAAGCTCCGCAGCGCTCGCGAAACCCGAAGACGCCTTCCCTGTCGCAGGGCGCTTCGCACTCGCCTACCCATCCCCGGCTTTAGAGAAACTAGAGAACTTGCTTAGCGCGCCGGACCTTCCCCAGCGGCCGCACGCCCTCCCCTCCCGTCCCCTCCCCTCCCCTCCGCGCTGGGCTTCCTACCCCCGCCCCTCCCCCCCCACTGCTGTCTCCCACCTCCTTCCCGCCCCTCCTTCTCTCCCCTCCCACCTCCCCTCCTGCTCTCCCCTCCCACCTCTTCGTTCCTCCTCCTCCCCTCCCCTCCGCCTCCCTCCCCCTCCCCCCATCTTCCCCACCCGCGAGGGCTGCGGGCGGCTCCCTGGTTCCGGCATATACAGATTTGGGCAGAATGTGCTCCCAAGGCTCTCGGTCAAGAATTCGGACGAGAAAAGTTTGCGGGCAGCGCCGCGGGCGCTCCGCGTTCCCCGCCCCGCGGGGCGGGCCTCGGGCCGGGGCTACGCCGCCCACGGCTGCCGTCCGGCTGCCCAGAAAGCCCGACTTACATAAGGGCCTGCGGCGCCTGCCTCGGGCCCCGCGCCTGTCTGAGCTCCTCTGTCAGTTTAACCGTGATTCTGCTCCTGAGATTTAGCAGGCACAGATAAAAGGGGCAGCAATACGTTTAATTTTAGACAGGAAAATGAGAGCAAAAAGGGACTGAGAGGGAGGGAGGCCGCAGAACAGGAGAGCAGGTTCGTGCTGGTGGGCAGGTGGATGGAAGGTTTCTTTGGAGCAGGTTCATATTTGGATTCCTGCGTAGGGGTGGGTGGGTGTAAAGCCTTAATAACGGTGAGGTGGCCAGGACAACAGAGGCCCAGGTAAGCAAAATGGGTGGTACTTATGCTGCCAGAAATAATGGCCACTTTCCTGATCTTCATTTGATAGACCCAGGGCACATGTAGAGGGGAGGTGATTATGGCCCTGTTGAGAGAGCATAACGCCTGCTTTCCCAGGGGCGGGCTGGGGCATACAGTTAGTCGCACAGTAAATAGCAGCCAACATGTCAGGCACCGTCCTAGTAAGAACTCTGCCAGCTTTGTTGCATTTAATCCTCATGACAAATGAGTCTGCTTTATTCCCATTTTACACATGAGGAGACTGAGGCATGGCTAGGCTAAATGACTTGACCACGATCACACAACTCTTTTGGCTGAGGACTAAAAGCTGGGACCCCAAAATTCATGCTATGATATGACTTAGTATTTGGGAGGCAGAATACAAAATGGTTCAGCTTTAGCACAGAGTGAACTGCATCCTGTTTGGAGGACAGGCAGGCAGATTTGCACTGGGTAAGCTTGTGCTCAGAGTTCTCCCAGACCTGTATTTCACAACTGACATAATCAGCACATCTTCCCCCTCAGGATGTTACTGAGGCCTTTCATTAGCAGGAGTTTTGTAATTCCAAGATCCTCTCTAGAATGGGTACTTTCGGAGCTATTGTCTCTGGTTAGTCCAAGTCTCCCCGCGGCTCATTAGAGAAATTGCGCCCTAGGCTGCTGTCTCTGTGCAAAGTTACAAGGACTGTCCAGCAGGATTTTAAAAATCCCCCAAACTCCCATTCTTCTACAACGGAAATGTATAATAGTTGGGGGGGAGGGGCGGAGATCAGCAAGGCAAATTAAACTGAGATTCCTGGTCCCTGTGATACTTACAAGGCCTGAAGGATATAGTGCCAGGAGGTAACGGTGAATGGGACATTCTCGGTCCCATGAATGTGTGTCACTTTCCTGACTCTCCCCAGCAAACAGAAAACACACCTGGTACTGTTAGGCCCCTCTGGGAGTTTCTTTTCAAAAGGTTTCAAGATCCCTTTTTGGATGTTTTTTGCTTCCGTTGCTGTTTTTACTACTGCTTAACATCTACACACTCATAAGTCACCAGAATACACCCTAATCCTCCCCGCAAAATGAGATAAAGATTTGACAAGCCCAGTGCACTAAAAAAGTCAGTGCGAAGCCTGGTTCTCAAATCTAATGTCCACACATATTCCAACAGGGTGCAGAGGGAATTGGTGTTCAAGAAGCCATGTGGTGAGATAATACCTTAGGGTGCTATCTGACGGTTCATTTATTTCTAAAGCTACTACAGCTGCCATATTGATAAATAACCCCCCCCCCCCCATAGGAGCCTAGGAAGATCTCCTCTGGTTCTCCCTTCTCCATTATTTTAGATTAAGAACTGGAGCCACCAAAGGGAGGCTTGCTATGCAATCTAGACACCCAAGGCTTGTTTTGGGGAATGGGTGGGTGGGTTCGTAGGCCTGTGGCTATTTAGGCTGAGGACTATGTGAGGAAGGAAGCTGGCTCCACTGGCCAACTCCTACACCAGAAGAGGCCTCTGGGGCTACAGGGAAGAGGCTTCAGTAGTTCCAGGCAGCTGCTCCACAACACAATTGGGCCGTTTTCTCCAGCGTGGTCAACTATCCCTAGTCTTTTTGTCATGACTGCCTGGATAGTAGAAGCTGGGGCCAAGGCTGCCTCAGAGGAATTCCTCCTCCTACTGGGGCCTGATGTCCGGCTTCCCTTGTATTGGGGAGGGGTCCTCGAGAGTGGCCAGAGACTCTCTTCTTGCTGGGCACCCTGAAAATGAAGCAAAGCTTAGTGCAGTGCCTGGAGCTGATGACCCTCCAATGGTTCCCCACCTTGGAGCTCTTTGCTACCCATGGGCTACCCTGCATCCACTACTTACTGCCCAGGCCTGTCTGTGCCACCATGCCCTGTGCCCTAGACCTGTCCTGGCGAATGTGCCTCTGCCGGATCCCATGCTCAGTATCATTCCTAGAGAATCCAGAGGTAAGTCCAGGCTAATAAGCTCTGGAGAAGCAATGGGCAATGTAGGTGTTTGCCTTTTGACCGAAACTACAAACAAAGCTTGGATCCCAGGTCTGGCTCTGGGTCAGGGAAGCTTTGGGCCTGGCTGTGGCAGAACAGTGAGGGAGGTACTTTGGGTTTTCAACACTTCTTAAATCATCGGAGAGAGAGAGCGCGCCACTCACTTTCACATGCAGAAGCTGCCGCTGGCTCTGTCACGAGAAGATGAACTACAAGTAATAAAATCAAGATGAAGTTCTGTGTAAATCTTTCCAGCTCACAAAGATTGTAGAAAGTTGAAGATGAAAGGGATATTAAAGACCATCTCATTCTACCTCCTCATTTTGCAGCTATAAAAACTGAGGCTCGGGGAGGGGTACTGAGGAAACTACCATCACACAGCTGCTCCACGGCAGGAGTTGTGCCAACTTTCCGTGGCTGTGGCCATTCCACCCTGCATCTTTTGAAAACAGGGAAGGAGAAATCAGTCCTCCCGGCATCTTCACCTCCCATGACATTTGTTGTTTCCAGCTGCTAAAAATTGGCATTTTTAAAAGTGGGTCACCCCGCCAGCCATTGGGGGTCACCACTGTGGGAGTGCTGATTAAGAGGGCTGGAGGACAGGCAGGTGATTGGAAGCATAATTGCCAGTCTCCTCCCTGGCACCTGGGGATTTCTGTCATTCAAGTCCCTGGGTGTGTGCCCTCAGTAAATACTAACCCACAGAGTCAATTGCTAACTGCAGTCATCTGTGCATTTGCCCTCTGGGGATGGAAAGCTGGAAGAAATGCCATTTCCTAATCTGGTTGGCCTTGGATGGAAAGATGTTTTTGCCTGGTGGAAGCCTTCAGAGAGTCAATAATGTGTATTTAGGACCTACATTGCTGTCCAGGATCCTGTAAAGGACCTGGTTGTAAGGAAAACCTCACAGATGGTTTTGGCTTTGTCTTTGTCTTAGTAAAGACCTTTTGGTTGTAAGTAATTAAGTTGAGCTGGCTTAAGCATTAAGGAAAATATAAGCATAAAGTGCTAGCTCATGAAATCCAAGTGCAGATGGCCTCGAGGTAGCCTGGGAAGCTGCTAGGAACCCAGGCAGTCCACCTTCTCCAGCTTTCTGTTCTGCGTCATCATGTCTCTCTGTGCAATCAGCTTTCCTTTCTTTTTCTCCTTGGGGTATCTGGGTGGAAGACGATCCCTTAACAACTACCAAGTTTACATCTCTTCTACTGAAGACATTTGCCAAAGGAGACTGGCCGTCCTCAGTCCAATAGCAAATTTCCAAGAGAGAAAATGTGATTGGCCCAGCGTGAGTCAGGTGCACAGGCTGACCCCATCAAGTGTGTCCAGGATAGGGTACCCTGAGACAGGCTTAGCTGGGGATGCTCATCCTCATGGATGACCAAAGGGCATTTCTTCAAGAAAGAAGAATAAAGTGCAGTGGGCAAACATTTATAAGCGTCAAATTAGTTATCGATATAGAAAAAGTGGCAATGCCCAAGTAGGAGTCTTGAGAAACAATCCAGACACTGGAGAGATTTCCATTATTTGCCTGACTTCCTGGGTGATAAAGAATCTGTCACGGAGCTGTATCTTTTTCTACAGCAGTTTTCTTGCAATGTAACCCCTATCCTCTGAATGGGATGGTCCATTCAGATAATCTGAGGAGTGTCTTAATCTTTTACGTGACTAGCATATATGTTTTCATCCTGTTGAGATGTGTTAGGTAGATAGCGAAAATGAAATAAAAGTGTAATTTTAGACTTGCATGTGTTGAGATATATGTATAAGCATATATGCACACTTAACTATATTTTAGACACCAAACCTGCTTCCAAAAAGAATTTGAAGCAACATTTAATAAAAACATGGGACAAGTGTCACCAAGGGCTATTAACACCAAAAAAGAAGTAAAAGACAAGTAAAAAATGGGTTGCAGTTGAGCAGAGCTGCATGAGACTTTAATGCCTGGCCTGAACTGATTGCTAAATTTAGCTCTGAACTTTCTGACATTCAAGGCAAATACATACATATATATATATATATATATATAAAATTGAATAATTATTATTTACACAATGTTTACCTCCTGTGGTCCTCAAAACCCTTCCAGGGGGTCCACAAATCAAAACTATTTTTATAATAATACCAAGACATTGTTTGCATCTTTCACGCTCATTCTCTCATGAGTGTACAGGGGAGTTTTCCAGGGGGTACATGTCATGTGCATCACCGCAGATCG